GCCGGCAAGGCTACTATGGACAACTACATATCCAAGACTGGAAGCCGACAAGGCCACATACTATCCAACTATACATAATTATCTACAGACCTCTAATAGAGTGTACAACTGTATAAAGGACAGGACTGGGCCCCGTCATACCCATATCTACATATCAAAACAGCGTACCAAAACTAGTAACAGCTCCGGATCAAGTGGAGCACACCAACTCTCGCTGATCAAAGATCCTAAAAAGGGGGTCCATCAGCCTGTCAACCTGCACCTGCGGGCATGAAACGCAGCATCCCCAGGGAAAAGGGACGTCAGTACGAATAATGTACCGAGTATGCAAGGCATGATAGGTTGATGAGTATTAAGCTGGGGACCTCAAGGACCTCGTGGTCGTGGTTAGGAGGGTAAATGATAGGTTGATGAGTATTAAGCTGGTAGTTGGTGGGTTTACTGTAAACGTGATTAGTGCATATGCTCCTCAAGTAGGTTTGGACCAGGAGGTCAAGAAGCAATTCTGTGAGGATTTGGACGAGATGGTACGTAGTATCCTGCACACAGAGAAGTTGTTCATTGGCATATATTTCAATAGCCATATTGAGGCTAGTGCTAAGGGATATGATGATGTGCATGGCGGGTTCGATTTTGGGGATAGGAATGAGGGAGGTAATTCACTGTTGGATTTTGGTAGAGCTTTTGATTTGGTTATAGCTAACTCGAGTTTTCCGAAGAGGGAAGAGCACCTGGTCACTTTTCGGAATTCAATGGGCAAGACTTAGATTGATTATCTTCTCTGCAGGAAATACAATAAAGGTCTGTGCACTGACTGCAAGGTCATCCCAAGTGAACACCTCACGACCCTACATAGGCTCCTAGTTATAGACCTGGAGATCAAGAGGAGTAGAAGGAAGAGGGCGGGGTGCAGGAAACCTAAGATCAAGTGGGGTAACTTGACAAATGACAAAGCTCAATAGTTAGGGGAGAAATTGTTGGCTATGAGGGCCTGGACGAGTAGGGGGGACGCGTCTAGTATGTGGTTCAAGACTGCGAATTGCATTAGGGTAGCTGCTAGAGAGGTTTTAGGGGTCACGAAGGGCTCTCCTTAGGATCATAAAGGGGACTGGTGGTGGAATGGAGAGGTTCAAGGTAAAGTGGAAGTTAAGAAAGCTACTTATTTGAAGCTAGTGGAGAGTACAAATGAGGTGGAAAAAAGGACTTATCAGGAGTGTTACAGAAAGGCAAAGAAAGAGGCGAAGTTAGAAGTTACGACGGCTAAGAATGCGGCATTTGCTCGTTTGTATGATGAGCTCGGGGGCAGAGGCGGGGACAAGAAGTTGTACCTATTGGCCAAGGTGAGGGAGAGGAAAACCCGCGACTTAGACCAAGTCAAGTGCATCAAGGACGAGGATGGCAAAGTGTTGATGGACGAGGCACTTATTAGGAGAAGATGGCAGACATACTTCCATAAACTGTTGAACGAGGAGGGGGATAGAAGCATTGTGCTGGGTGAGTTGGAGCACTCTGAGAGTCGGCCGGATTTTAGGTACTGTAGGCGGATTACGGTAGAGGAGGTGGAAGGGGCGATGCGTAAGATATGCAGGGGCAGAGCGACGGGGCCAGACAAAATCCTAGTGGAATTCTGGAAGAGCGCGGGGCAGGCAGGTTCGGAGTGGCTCACTGGGTTGTTTAATGTTATTTTTAAGACAAAGAAGATGCCCGAAAAATGGAGGCGGAGTACGATGGTTCCGCTTTACAAGAACAAGGGCGATATCCAAAATTGCAACAATTATAGGGGTATCAAGTTGTTGAGTCACACTATGAAGGTTTGGGAGAGGGTGGTTGAGGCCAGGGTGAGGAGGTGCGTGTCTATTTCTGAGAATCAATTTGGATTCATGCCGGGGCGTTCGACTACGGAATGTATTCATCTGGTAAGGAGATTAGTGGAGCAGTACAGGGAGAGGAAGAAGGATTTGCATATGGTATTTATTGACCTTGAGAAAATGTACGATAAAGTCCCGATGGAGGTACTGTAGAGGTGTTTGGAGGTTAGCGACGTTCCGGTAGCGTACATTAGGGTGATTAAGGATATGTATGATGATGCTAAGACTCAGGTGAGGACTGTGGGTGGTGACTCAGAGCATTTCCCTGTGGTGATGGGGTTGCACTAAGGATCGGCTCTTAGCCCTTTTTTATTTGCCTTGGCGATGGATGTATTGTCACGACACATCCAAGGGGAGGTGCCTTGGTGCATGCTATTTGCCGATGATATAGTGTTGATTGACGAGACACGAAGAGGAGTTAATGCGAGGTTGGAGGTTTGGAGACAGACCTTGGAGTCTAAAGGTTTCAAACTGAGTAGAACCAAGACAAAATACTTGAAGTGCAAATTCAGTGATGGGACCTATGATGCAGACATAGAGGTTAAGCTTGATGCTCAAGTTATCCCCAAGAGAGCGAGTTTTAAGTATCTTGGGTCTATTATCCAGGGTAACGGGGAGATTGACGAATATGTCGCATATCGCATCGGAGCGGGATGGATGAAGTGGAGGCTCGCTTCTAGTGTTTTATGTGATAAGAATGTGCCGCCAAGACTTAAGGGTAAGTTTTATCGAGTGGTGGTTCGACCAGCTATGTTGTATGGGGCTGAGTGTTGGCCAGTCAAGAACTTCCACGTGCAGAAGATGAAAGTAGTAGAGATGAGTATGTTGAGATGGATGTGTGGGTGTACCAGGAGAGATAGGATTAAGAATGAAGCTATCCGGGATAGAGTGGGAGTAGCCTCCGTGGAGGACAAGATGCGGGAGTCGAGGCTGAGATGGTTCGTACATGTTAAGAGAAGAAGCGTTGATGCTCCTGTCAAGAGGTGTGAGAGGTTGGACATGGAGAGTTTGAGAAGAGGTCGAGGTAGGACTAAGAAGCAATGGGGAGAGGTGATTATACAGGACATGGCACTGCTTCAGCTCACTGAGGACATGACTCTTGATAGGAGGGTGTGAAGGTCGAGGATTAAGGTAGAAGGTTAGTGGGTAGTTTTTAGTTGTTCACCGATAGTCTTAGTAGCATGCATGTCCATTCATATTCTTAGATTTTTATTATGTTATGTGGTTTTGTTCGCCTCAGGTATTGTATTCCCTATTGCTATTATTTGGTACTACTTATCTTTTATCTCTCCCTTTTTCTTTTCTCTTCCATCTTTCTTCCTTCCTTGCTTTCCTCTTCTTCTTCTTCCCCTTCCTGAGCTGAAGGTCTATTCGAAACAGCCTCTCTACCTGCATTAGGTAGGGGTAAGGTCTGCGTACAGACTACCCTCCCTAGACCCCACATGTTGGGATCATACTGGGTTTGTTGTTGTTGTTGTTGTTGTTGTTGTTATGCAAGGCATGAAAATCAGTACATAAAGACATAGATGAAACATGGTGTAAAGAATTCTACATGTGAGTCTAAATAACTTTGTGAATCCTGAAACATTTATAATGTCATGCACGTCCGTATAAATATCGTATCATGCATAGGTATAGGTGTACATAACATCTCGGGCAGGAACCCTTACTTCCCCTCTTTGACGTCGTGTTTGCATAATGTTCTGGAATCATAGCATATCTGTTGGATTTGAATAAGTACAATCTCATCCCTTTCTCATTTTTATTTCATTCTTCCTTTACCATTCCATAGTTACTAAAACAACTAAATTCTAATTTAATGCCACATCACTCCATATTCCCCCATTTAGGGGAGTAATAAGATTTAGAGCTACGACGATCTACCTATAGATGTTTTACCTCTTCATCTTTGACGTCTTTTCACATCATTGATGATCCTTACATTTACTCATCATAAGCATCATGCAAAATCGAGTTCCTCTGACTCAACTCTTCCACATCCACATGCAATCTCTTACCAACTGTCTTTCTGGATGTATGTATCGTTGTATTACGAATAAAATAGAGTTTAATAGGTTGAATTCTTACAACTGAGCTCTACCACACGATCTAGAGTAAGAATAAAGAGTGACAGTCCTAAATGCCCTATAGCCTGCTGCTTATAAATGTGGTGCACAATACACCCATAAACAAGACTCTACTAGACACGACTTGTAGACTTCCTAGGACAGAACTATTCTGATACCACTTTTATCACGACCCAAACCGATGGGCCGCGACGGGCACCCGGTACCTTACTCAACCGAGTACCAACGTACTGTATATTTCGTATCATACTATCATAGGTATATGCGTACATACCTCTGAGGGCATCCCATCATATCATCTCGGCCACTGTGGGAAAAACTATCAACATATACCAGCTGATCAGGTGGTGGTGCGTATATAATGCCATAACCTTTTCCCATATCCCATATACATATAATATACGCGTATATAATGCCATCTGGTCATGGGTCAATGTACATGTATAAATGAATGAAATGCATAAGAAATACGTTAATAAGATTTCTCGAAATGTTATAAGATCAACATGTCCTCGGATAAACTTTATCAGCTACGTATTTTTCTGAGACCCATAAACAGAAGATATAATAATAACTCACATGGGGAATCAAGAACATAGGCACTCCTAGTACTTCTATGAATAGAGTCATTTATGAAAGCTGTGCTTTTGCTCGTTTTGTTTGTATCGTATGAATCATTCCAAAAAGAAAGAAGGTATAGCCTTAACATACCTGAGCCGATTCTCTTGACAATTCCTCTAACACACGTCTTTATGAAAAACACGTAACGACGGATCGAAGTAGGGAAAAATCCGTCTGATATTCTTGAGAAAGATTGTACCGTACTCCCTTAGAATTGCAAATCTCATTGCTATTACGTAATATAATCTCGTATGAATTCTGTGGCTTTCATCCGTTACTTTGCAAACATATGCATTTCCCATTAATAATTTTTGGTGGGAGATTATCAAGATAATTAAGAAATTGGTGGTTAATTATTGGGGTGGGAACATCATCAACGTGGCAGCAAGGAGTCTAATTGTTAAGATCAAACAATGACTCCTTAGCTTAGATGGCTAGGTGGCACTTCTAGGAAAGGTTGGCAAGGTAATCCTTATCAAGTGGGGCCCACACCCACATTGATAAAAGGCCTCCATAATTCATTAAAGGGAAATGCATATGTTTGCAAAGTAACGGATGAAAGCCACAAAATCCATACGAGATTATATTACGTAATAGCAACGAGATTTGTAATTCTAAGGGAATACGGTACAATCTTTCTCAAGAATATCATACGAATTTTTTCCCTACTTCGATCCGCCGTAACGTATTTTTTGCAAAGAATACGTAATATAATTTCTTGAGAAAGATTGTACCGTATTCCTTTAGAATTACAAATCTCGTTGCTATTACGTAATATAATCTCGTATGGATTTTGTGGCTTTCATCCGTTACTTTGCAAACATATGCATTTCCCTTTAATGAATTATGGAGGCCTTTTATCAATGTGGGTGTGGGCCCCACTTGATAAGGATTACCTTGCCAACCTTTCCTAGAAGTGCCACCTAGCCATCTAAGCTAAGGAGTCATTGTTTGATCTTAACAATTAGACTCCTTGCTGCCACGTTGATGATGTTCCCACCCCAATAATTAACCACCAATTTCTTAATTATCTTGATAATCTCCCACCAAAAATTATTAATGGGAAATGCATATGTTTGCAAAGTAACGGATGAAAGCCACAGAATTCATACGAGATTATATTACGTAATAGCAATGAGATTTGCAATTCTAAGGGAGTACGGTACAATCTTTCTCAAGAATATCAGACGGATTTTTCCCTACTTCGATCCGTCGTTACGTGTTTTTCATAAAGACGTGTGTTAGAGGAATTGTCAAGAGAATCGGCTCAGGTATGTTAAGGCTATCCCTTCTTTCTTTTTGGCATGATTCATATGATACAAATAAAACGAGCAAAAGCACAACTTTCATAAATGACTCTATTCATAGAAGTACTAGGGGTGCCTATGTTCTTGATTTCCCATGTGAGTTATTATTATATCTACTGTTCATGTGTCTCAGAAAAATACGTAGTTGATAAAGTTTATCCGAGGACATGTTGATCTTATAACATTCTGAGAAATCTTATTAACGTATTTCTTATGCATTTTATTCATTTATATATGTACATTGACCCATGACCAGATGGCGTTATATACACGTATATTATATGTATATGGAATATGGAAAAAGGTTACGACGTTATATACGCCCCACCACCTGATCAACTGGTATATGTTGATGATTTTGCCCACAGTAGCCGAGATTATATGATGGGATGCCCTCAGAGGCTTGATGATGTTATGTACGCATATACCTATGATAGTATGATATGAAATATACGTTACGTTGGTACTCGGTTGAGTAAGGTACCGGGTATCCATCACGGCCCATCGGTTTGGGTCGTGACAAATATGGGTAATTACCTCACTCTGGAGGGACGCATCCATATCCAAGGGCCATACGAAAATTTATCGTGCCATACCATATTAATATTACAATTGCCATAACAATATCAAATATCAATCCCCTCATAATGTACCAATATGCCATAATCATATCAATCTGTATCAACATCTCTATCCCTAAGGATGTATGCATATGTTCAAGAAATAATCAATAAAATATACAACAACAACAACATACCCAGTATTATTCCACACCGTGGGGTCTGAGGAGGGTAGTGTGTACACAGACCTACTTTGTGAAGATAGAGAGGCTATTTCCAATAGACCCTCGGATCAGAAAAGTATAAGCACCATGATAATGAAAAAATAGACAAGAAGGGACAACACCAAAAAGCCATGTAAAAGCAGCATAAAAACAATAAGATAATAAGATGACCAAAATAAAAGAAAATGACGGATAGTCATAGAAACCTACTACCAACAGAATGCGAGAATGCGTACTAATACTACCGGTATGAACAATCTAGACCACCTACCCTACTACCCTAATCCTCGACCTCCACACCTTCCTATCAAGGGACATGTCCTCGGTCAGCTGAACCTACGCCATGTCTTGCCT